ATTCACCTGACCCCAGGCGCCAAGGCTGTCTCCGTGTCTCAGCTGCTGTGCCATCACCCCTGGGTGTGCGCCCCGCAGTGGGCCTACAGGTCATGTGGCCTTCTGCTTTTAGATTTCTGAGGCCCCCCCCATGTGTTTTCACATATGTTGCCATTTTCTGTCCCCACCAACAGAGTGAGAGGATTCCCTTTGCTCCTCTCTGCTGGTTTGTTTTTTAATAATAGCTGTTCAAACAGGGATGCATGAGGTGACTTGCCGTCTCTGATTTGTATTTCCCTGCCGAGTAGCAGTGCTGAGTACCTTTTTATATACTTGTTCACTATTTGTCTGTCTTCTCAGGAGAATTACCTATTCAAATTCTTTGACCACTTTTTAAATGAGTTGTTTGGCTTTCTATTACTGACAGCGGTGCCTTATATATTTTGGATATTAACCCCTTATCAGTGATTAGGAACAGAGGAGGTTAAAGGGGGGCTACAGGGAGGTGGGAGAGAATTACAGCCTTCTGGACAAGAAAGTTGGAAAGGACCCTGAGGTGAAATGAGGAATTTTGAGTGGGTGGGACCTAGTTAACCAAGTACTGTTACATTATGCTGTTCTGCAAAATGGAACTTCTAGGCTGTGACACCTGACCTCTAGCTGATGAATGATCCACCCATAAAACAAGGATAAGGGTCCCTGGCACAGAACAATGCTCATCATGGTTGCCACAAACATCACAAGACCAACAGATACTATCATACTACCACTGGTAAAATAACAGTTAATTATTATTGATACAGAGTAAAGGAAATTGGTTTTATGTGGCAACTGAGGTGATCCACAACCAGTGAAACCAGGACAGCTTGCCTGAAGGCCTGAGATGAACCAGTGGGAATCCTTATAGGCAAATGTGTGTGTGTGGGCGGGGGGGTGGGGGTCAGGATGAAAGTATTTATACTGGTGCACGGCCTTGGTGTGGGGTCTCCTCTCTCTCACAAGAGGGGCCCTTTTCCACTATCCTGGAAAAGCCTGTGCTTATCTATGCTTTACTTTAAATAAAAGCTATGCTTCTTTTCCTGCTATATTGGAGTCCCAGCTGCCTCATTTCCCCTCCCCCAGTCCCTTACTCTCCCTTTGGCTGAGCCGAACTTACTAGTTTGCTGGGTGAACCTAACCAGGTCCACTGAACAGCTCAGAGGTGAACTCTCACCTCTATGATCAGATACAGGATTTGCAAATATTTTCTCCCATCCTATAGGCTGCCTTTTCATTTTGTTGTTTCCTTGGCTGTGCAGAAGCTTTTTAGCTTGATGTAGTCCCACTTGTCTATTTTTGCTTGTTTCGCCTGTGCTTTTGGCTTCATATCCAAAAACTCATTGCCAACACCCATGTCAAGCAACTTCCCCTACATTCTTCTAGGAGTTTTACAGTTCCAGGGCTTACGGTTAAGTCTCCTGTGGGGGTGTCAGTATGTCAAGCAAGGCCATCGTGCCAAAGATAGAGGTCTTCAGGGGTAGGAAGCTTGCAGCACCCCGCCTTCCAAACAGGTCCCCCACTCCCGCACTCTGAACCAATCACAGCAAGAATAAAAGCTACTGGAGCCCGGAGAAATCAGGGCTGGCTTCACAGAGGAGGTGGCCTGGGGTCTCCAGAGACAAACAGGAAAGTGTAAGGAGCTTCTTTAGAAAAGCGGGAGTGGGACTCATTCTAGAAGGAATGTGCTGCACAAACCCAGCCACAGAGGGGACCCGGTTGGAGCCTGGGAACCCAGAGGAGTGGGGTGGGAGGGCAGAAAGAAGGGGGCTGGGGGTGGATTGGAGCGGGGATAGGGGGCTGCCATGTCCTGAGTCAGGCCCCCTCCTCTCTGGGGCAGCAACAGCATTCTCCCCTATGGCCCTAGCAAGACAGAAACAGCTGGAGCTCTCGGTCTGTCCCCGCCAGGACAACCTAGGGGTCTGAGGCTGCGGGATGGCACCCCACCCCGGCCCACGACGACCCCAGAGCGCGTCCCTGGCTGGAGGGTACGTGGGCTAGGCAGCACGCTCCGCCCCCGCCCCACCCCCGCCCGCGCTAGCTCCACCCCCGCCCTCGGCAGCTTGCCTGGGCCCGCAGCGCCACCTGCTGGCCGCGGGGAGGCCCTGGCGCGACTGGGGCCTAGGGCAGTGTGGCAGAGCCGGCGGGGGAGGTGGACCAAGGCGGGCTGGCTCCCCGGGAAGAGGGTGCTGATGGTCCAGGGGCCTCAACCTCACCCTGGACTTGGGTCTGGGTGGCCTGAGTTTGAGACCTGCTTCCACCACTGAGTGCTGTGTGTCCACCAGCTGATTCCTGGCCCTCTCTGAGCTTCATCGCAATCCCAGGGTAGTAGCCAGCACACCTGGCTCCTGAAGGCTGCTGTGAGAAGCAAGTGGCCCCAGGCAGGGAGCCTGCATGCAGCAGGGGTTGGCGGTCCTGCCTGACTCCCTTCAGACTCCTGGGGTAGACAGGTGCAGGGCACCATGAGCCAGGGTACTATCACCCTGACATCCACTTTCAAATGCAGGGAGGACTAGGGACAATGCAAGGGCCAGACCCCAGATCTCAGTAGGTGTCCCTCACCCATGTCCCCTAGGGTGCCCCATTAGGGGGCTTAGATCCCTCCATGCAACCCTGCCCCCGGGACATTGCAGAGACAGAATGCTCACCACCTCCAGCTGCCCAGGGCTCGCTGCAGGCTCTCCTTACCTTCAGATGTGTTCTCTCAGGGGAAATATACCTCACCATAATCCAGGAAAGAGGCCATCTGAGACATTCAGGGAGACAGGAAAGCCTAAAAGGTCTTGGGAAGGTTTGAGGCTAGGGCTATAAAGGACTCGTCCCTCTGGGCACTCAGTCTCCTGCCATCCCTGCCTGTGTCTCCCTCCTGCCTCTACCTCCAGTCCTAAGAGATGTGGCAGCCCTGTAGGACTCCACTTCTCACGCCAAGGCCTTGCTCTCCTCTCCCATTCCACATTCCCAGGAGAGGGGAAATGACCAGCCCATTTGGCCCAGACAACCTAGTAAACAGTTCTCAACCAACTGTCCACTGACTTGCAGTATCTGCCAATTCCTGCAGTGTAAATACCTCCATCATGGCTGATTTCAAGCCACCTGTGAGATGTCATGGAGCACAGAGTTGGGGAGACATGTTCAATGACCACCATTATATGGCGTTTCCACCACACAGATACAGTAGATCTGAATCATCTCAAAAGCATAGAACACAGTAAAATGCAGCCAAATAATTAGGAAGTAATGAGTTTATAGTATTTATTACTTTTGCTTTTAATATAATCCATTTAACTATAAGTTTCTATGGTTGTATTTCAAACCTCCTAGAAATTTAGGGATCAGTCTACAAGGTGGTATGGACTGCTCCAGCCACTGGCTAGCAGCACTTTGCAAAGTGGCTACCAAGGTCTGTCCTACAGGTATGGAGAGACAGCTCTCAGGGAACCAGGGAGGGTCAGGGGTCTTTGCTGGATGGGCTACCCAATGACCCTCTGTTCATGAATGGGCTTATAGACTCAGGTTTTAACAATCCCCTTCATGGTGCAGAAAGGATGGGAAAATGTGAATTAGAGGTTTCCAGGCTTGGGCTACTATAATACCATAGAGTAGGTGGTTTATAAACCAGAGAAATTTATTTCTCACAGTTCCAGGGGCTAGAAGTCCAAGGTCAAGGCACTGGCAGAGTCAGTGTCTGGAGAGAGCCTTCCTCCTGGTTCTAAGACAGCTGTCTTTATTCTGTGTCCACAAATCATGGAAACTATCACATTTTCCCTGGAAAAGAATGTGCATTAGTTATCCACAGATGTGTAACAAGTGACCCCCAAACCTTAGCAGCTTAAAACAGCACCATTTAGTAAAATGTAGCCAAATAATTAGGAAGTGATGAGTTTACAGTATTTATTACTTTTGCTATATCAGTTTCTTGGGTCAGAAATCCAGGCATGGCTCAGCGGAGTCCTCTGCCTCAGTCTCTCCCAAGGCTGTAGTCAGGGTGTTGGCTGGGCCTGGGCTGGGCTCCTGAGGGTCAGCTTCTGAGCTAATTCATGTGGCTTCTAGTAAACTGAGGAACTTATTTCTTTGCTGGCTGTTGGCCAGAAGCCATCTTCAGTCCATGCCGTGTCCTGTCTCCTGTCCTCTAGAAACCCCACCCAGCCCCAGTCTCCAGCACAGTCCCCATTTACTCTACAAAAACAGCTGGCTCACCTGTGCCCTATACTTCCTACACACACTGACCCCTTCCAGGTCCTCACCTGGACAGCCTCTTACCTGCCAGGCTACCACCTCTGCTGCTCTGGCCTCCTGCTGAGCTTCCTACACTGCAGGGCAAGGGAGAAGTCCCAGAACACCCCAAGGCTGAGCACTGAGGCTTCATCTCCAGACACTTGGCACCATCTACCAGCAATGACATCATGCTGTGTCACTCTGAAGACATGCCCCTGGGCTGGGCAAAGGCCACCTGGTTTACCTACAATTCTGGCACTGGAATCACAGTGACACCTCAGCCTGCCAGGCACTGTGCTAGGTCATCACCCCTATCCTCTGACTAACCTAGAGAGTAGCCCATGAGCTAGGACAGCAATATTCCTGTTTTATAGATGGGGAAACCAAGGCATGGAGAGGTGAGTCACCTGCACCAGGTCAATAGAGACAGGACTTGACTTGGTTTCGGGCAGCCTACCCAGCCCCACGTGCTGCCCTCCCAGGAGGCAAGGGGCTCGGAGAAGGGAGAGACAGGCCCAAGGCCTCGTTGAGGACACAAGTCTACACATGCATGGGCATACACAGGCACACACGTACACACGCCAGTCCCAGAACACAGACTGTGTCCCTAGAAAGGATGCTATAGGCACTGGAACCATTGTGACCTCAGGGTGAGGTCAGGCCAGGCCACAGTGGGGGAGGGGCAGTGCCCAGAGATAGGGCCTGCCCACGGGCGTTGAGGGCAGAGCTGTCAGTGGAGGCCAGTGGGTCCTCCACACCGCATCCCAGCCATGGACAGGAAGCATTTTGAAAGGCCTCACAGCCGTGCCTCGGCGGGCAGGCCATCATCAGCCCTATCCTACAACTCCAGGTCAGCTCAGCCCTGCCAGGGAACACAAGAGAGGCCAGGGACCCTGCCCTCTCCCTCACTGATGCCCTGGTCCCATCTTTTAGGCGAGCACCTCTCTGAGGGGCACCTTGGTGGAACCCAAAGCCCTGTGTGGAGGAGGGAGGGGTCCTGACTCAGGAGTAGCCTCTGAGGCATATGGGTGGGCCTCACCTTGTGAGGACTGGGGTCTCCCACATGCCCAATGTATGAGCCGGTAAGTGGATGGATGAACAGACTGTCCACCTGCTTCTCGGAGCCTCAGCCTCCCCACAGCAGGAGGAAGATGACATGACAGCCAATGCTCCTGAGGGTCCAGAGGGGAACGGAATGAGGAAAGTTCCTCTACAACCTTCCAGGCCTCCCGGGAACCCCCCCTCCAGTGTCCCCAGAAACCCAGCAGCAAAGGGCAGCCTCACCTTCCTGTGTCTGACAGGCAGTCAGAGGCAGGTCCAGCCAGGCCCCTCTGCCTCCTCTGACCCTCTAGCCCAGGAGCATCCTTTCCGTGGAGGGCTGGGAACAGGATGTGTTGTCCAGGCCCGGGATTCCGTGTCATGGTCCGTGTCACTGCGGATTGTTGCAGGAGCATCTTGGTACCTGCCTATAAGCTGGGCTATTTTGGGCCCCGCGCAGTAGCTCTGTTTGAGTGTTGGCAGGCCTGTCTTCTCTGCCACAGTTTGCGGAGGTTCTAAGCCGAGAAAGCATTTCCCCCGCAGATGTTTGCTAATAGTGTGTTTGCACATCATTCTATTTTTAAAAATACATTTAACACTGGAGGCTGCAGGGGCCATGATGTGGGTGTGGGCAGATGAGGTAGGGGCCTTAGTGGAGCTCATGGCCCTCACTGTGACCATCACCATGTCTGAGGCAGGCCAGGCTCCAGCCCCAGCCAACAGGAGACCCTGCAGAGTCAGCACCTTCCAGTCTCGGTCTGGAAGGCTGGACTTTCCAAGAGAGGGAAGTAGCCAGTTTTCTGAAAGGCCACAGGAAGAAGGAGGCTTCCAGGAAAGGCAAAGTGCATGCTGACCTTGCCGAGGCCAAGCAAGAAGGCCTTGAAGGCCTCCTTAGAGGTGCCTCAGCCCTGAGACTCCAAGAGATAGCAGAACCCACAGCCTCTAGGATGTAGGCTCTGGAGGCAGGGCCAGGTCCTAGCCTGTCCCCGTTCTCATCTTCGATGGTGGAAGATGGTATATGAAGCAGGGTCAGGCAGAGGTGAGGGCAGTGAGAATCGACACTCCATCCCTGTCTGCAGGAGGCTGTGTCCAACTGGGATGAGCTTCACTATTCTAAGGATGCCTTCATTAGGATCTCTAATTCATTTATTAAACCATCCAACACACACATACACAGGAACCTTTTGGGAAAGCTTCATCCAAATGGCATGTTTATGGCCAGGACTTTCTGACCAGGAGGAGTTCCTGGCAGGATAGAGCTGACCTGGGATTGTGAGACACAATTGATGACATCCTACTTGCCAAGGCATGGGTATGGGTCTTTCAGAATGCCACCCGTCTATGGGTTGGAGGACCCTGTCCCTCCTGGACTTCTCCACTTTGTGGCCCCAGCTGGAAGTCCAGGGATGTGAGCCCCACAAAGAAAGGGATTTCTGTGTATTTTGTTAACTAACAAATCCCCAGGCCCCAGAACAGTACCTGGCATATAGGAGGCACTTAATAAATACTCAGCAAATGAACAAAGGCAAGAATGATTCTACTCTGGGCACTGTGTGAGGCTCAGAGACTAAAGGCGTCTACATGGGCTGCCGTACAAATACCACAGACTGAGGGTTTAAACAACAGACACTTATTTCTAACAGTTCTAGGGTCTGGAAAGTTCAAGATCAAAGTTCCAGAAAATTGGTGTCTGATGAGGGTTCTCTTCCTGGCTTGCTGACAGCCACCTTCTTGTTGGGTCCTCACATGGTAGAAAGAGAGAACACTTGTGTTGTCTGTTTCTTTTGTTTTGTTTTGTTTTGTTTTGTTTGTTTTGTTTTGTTTTGACACAAGTGTCAAGCTGTTGCTCCGGGTAGGCGTAGAGTGCTATGGCATCATAGCTCACAGCAACCTCCAACTCTTGGGCCCGAGCAATCCTCTCACCTCAGTTTTTCTATTGTTAGTAGAGATGGGGTCTCGCTTTTTGCTCAAGCTGGTCTCAAACTCATGAGCTCAAGCTGTCCACCTGCCTTGGCCTCCCAGAGTGCTAGGATTATAGGTGTGAGCCCCGTGCTGGCCATCTATGTTTCTTATTCCAGCCTCTCTGGTGGCTGTGTAGCCATGTCTCACTGTGGTTTTAATTTGTTTCCCTCATGAGGAATAATACTTAGCACTTTTTACATACTTATTTCTGTCTATCTCCTTTGGTGGATTGTTCAAATCTTTTTACTGTATTTCATTAGGTTGTTTGTGCTTCTGTTTTGTTTTGAGAGGTCTTTATATATATCATAGATGTAGTTCTTCAGTGATTTGCAAAACTTTCTCCAAGTCTGCAGCTTATCTTTTTATTTTTTATAGATATATGCCAATCTAAATAAAAGGCACAGAGAGAGACACTCTTAAAAAATGGTATTTATTCAGGAATGGGCATTACAGTGGGAATACACGTGCATATAAGACATGATTTGTGTATTCAAGGTTGTTAGGTAAGAGAAAGTTTCTAAAGTCAAAATGAGGATGATACATAAATTGTTTTGAGACAATAATCTTGGGTACAATAAGCAATCAGAAGAGTAGCAGGTTGAATATACGGTTGCTGGACAGATGTCCCCACAGAAGTATTGTTTGCATGTAAGGTGCAATGGCCTTTGTGGAAGGCTGTGGGTTTTGTGGTCTTTTGTGATACATCTTGTTATCAGGCATTCATGCATGAGAACCCTCCCTTTATGGCCCTCCTCAGCCCCATTTGTCAGAGGGACCCATTTTGATTCCAACAACTCTCACATATATTTCAAAAAGCAGAAGCTTTTATTTTTGTGAAATCAAATTCATCATTCTTATCGTTTATGGATAGTGCTTTTAATGTCACATCTAATAAATCTTTATCTTACCCAAGGTCATGAAAATTTCCCCCAATATTTTCTTCCAGAAGTTTTAGAAGTTTAGGTTTTACTTTCAGGTCTGTGATTTATTTTGAGTACATGTTTATATATAAGTGAGATATAGATTGGGGGCTATTTTTTGCATGTGTAAATTCATGTCTTACAACAGCACTCATTGAATGCTTTTTCGGTTGATTGCTTTCACATCATTATCAAAAATCAATTGGTCTCACTTTCTGGAGTCTTTGTTCTATTCCATATAATTATATTTCTATCCTTTCATCAGGATCACATTGTCTTGATTACTTTATAATAAGTCTTTAAATTGGTAGTGTTCTTGAAAGCAGTCTCCCATTTTGTTCCTCTTCAAAATCATTTTGGCTAACCTAGCTCCTTTATCTTCCCAATAAATTTTAGAAAAAACTTGTTGGTTACAACAAAAAATTCTGCCATTGAAGTTGCAATGAATATTTAGATAAACAGAGAAAATTAACATATTAAGAGTCTGGAGACTTCCAATCCATGAACATGGTATATCTCTCCACTTATGAACATCTTCTTGCTTTCTTTCATCAATATGTTGTAGTTTACAGTATATACACCTTAAAATTATTTTTTAGACTTAAAAAATGTTAAGACTGGATGTTTTCTTCCATATAAAGAGAAAAGATGAATATACACATGCAAAAATATAGCCCCCAATCTATATCTCACATCGTATATAAACATTTACTCAAAATAAATCACAGATCTGAAAATACAACCTAAACTTAACAAATACATCTAAGGTATTTAGACTTAAATAACTCATGATTTTTAGTTAGGGTACATGGTGCATTTTTTTTCTTTCAATTCCCAATTATTCATTGCCAGTATATAGAAATATGATGATTTTTATACACTTACCTTATAATTTGCAAATTTACTGGATCCACTTTTTAGTTCCGGTGGAGTTTGGGGTTTTGTAGGGTTGGTCTTTTTGTCTTTTTGCTTTTGTTTTTGTAGATTCTTTGACGTTTTCTACTTGGATAATAATGTCTTCTACAAATAGAAACAGTTTGTTTGTTCCTTTCTGATATGTATGCCTTTTATTTCTTCTCAACTTTTTGTCATGACTAAGCCTAAAATTCTATGTTGATACAAGTAGTAACAGCATGTATCTTTGCCTCATTCCAACTATATGGAAGAAAATTTCCAGTCTTTCACTAGAGAGCATGATATTAGCTGTATGATTTTTATAGATGTTCTTTATCAGATTGAGAAAGATTCCTTAATCCCTGTTTCTATTACAAAGAGATATTTAATTTTGCCAAATGCTTCCTCTGCATTTATTGGGATAATTATATGATTTTCTTCTTCAGTCTGTCGATACGATGAATTACTTTGATTGATTTTCAAATGTCCAAGCAGTCTTGCATTCCTAGGATAAGCCATCCTTGAAGATCATGGATGAGTATTTTTACATATTTTGGATTATATATAAAATATAATATTGTTATATTTTTCTTAACAATGATATATTGTTAAGAAAGTTTCCATTCATGGAAAATATTAAGCTATAGTTTCTTTATTTACAATGTTTTACAACTGTTTTTGGTATCAGGGTAAAGCTTGACTCATGGAATAGGTTGAGAAGTCTTTCCTTCTCTTCAATTTTTTGAAAGATTTTTATAGTATTCATATTATTTCTTCCTTAAGTGCTTTGAAAAATTCATAAGTGAAACCATCTGGGCTTAAAGGTTCCTTTGTTGGAGTGCTTTCAACTACAAATTCAATTTTTATAATAGATGTATGGCAATCCTTGTTATTTAATTCTTAAGTGAACTTTGGTATTTTATGACTTTAAGGAATTTGTCCATTTCATTCTAAGTTGAATAACTCTATTGACAGAAAGTTATTCATAAAATTCTTTTGCTATTCTGTTACTATCTATAGTACCTATAATGATGTGCTCACTCTTATTCTTGATGTTACTAATTTGTGGTTTCTCTTTCTATCCTAATAAGTCTTGGTTAGTGATTTACAATGTATTCATCTTCCTAAAAACCCTCCTGGTAGGCCTGGCACAGTGGCTCACGCCGGTAATCCTGGCACTCTGGGAGGCCAAGGCAGGTGGATAGCTTGGGCCCACCAGTTTAAGACCAGCCTGAGCAAAAAGCGAGACCCTGTCTCTATAAAAATAGAAAAACTAAGGCAAGAGGATGGCTTGAGCCTGAGGTTGCTGTGAGCTATGATGCCACAGCACTCTACTCTGTCTCAAAACAAAAACAAAAACCTGTTAGTTTCATTGATTTCTCTATTGTTTTGAATTTTATTAAATTTGACCATCTCTGCTATTTGGCTGTTGCGTTCAGATCATTTATATTTAACGTGATTATTGATGTGATTTGGTTTTAATCTACCACTTTTGATTTGTTCTTTCTTCATCTCTTCTCTTCTTGGTGTTACTTTCCTTCTTAATTGAGTTTTTAATGACACCACACTTCCTCCTTTGTCCACTTTTTAGCCATGTATTTTTTGTTTCATGTTGTTTTATTTTTTAACCATTGCTCTCGCTTATGCTTGTGAGCCTATTTCAGTCTATCTTCAGGTGATATTAGCCACTTTTCTTAAGGTACAAAAACCTTACAACACCTTATTTCCATTTCCTGCTCCTGCCCCTTGTGGATTGTTGTTGTACATATTTTCCCTCAACATTTGTTATAAATCCATAATTCATTTTTTACTTTAAGTTGTAAAAATAAGAAAAAATATTTTCTACTTAACTACATTTTGACCACTTCCAGTGCTCCTTCTTGTATGTAGTTTCCACATGGCAGCAATTTCCTTCTGTCTGAAGGACCTTCTCTGACATTTTTCTTTCACAGTGCAGATCTTCTGGGGATAAGTACATAGAGCTTTTATACGTGTAAAAACGTTTCCATTTCACCTTCCGCTTTTCAAGATTTGGGGGGCTGTTACCGTTTTGTTTGGCTTTGTTTTTCTTTCTGTGTGTTAAAATGTTCCACAGTCTTCTAGTCCATTGTTTCCAAGAAGGACTGTGCTTTCATTTTTTATTCCTTTTGTGTGTCTTTTTTCCCTGGATTTTTGTAAGGTTTCCTCTTATGATTGGTTTAGGGAAGTTTCAATGTGATGTGACTTGGTGTCGTTTTCTTCGCGTTTCTTTTGCTTGGAATTCACTGAGTTTCCCAGATCTGTAGATTTATAGTTTTCATTGAATTTATAAAATGTTCAGATATTATTTCTTCAAATTATTTTTTCCTTCCTTCTCCTGTGGGGACTCAAATTACACATACATAACACCACCTGAAATTGTCCCACAGCTCACCACTGTTCTGCTCCACATCTTCCAGTCTTTTTTTCTATTTCTATTTCATTTAGGAATAGTTTCTATTGCTATGTCTTCAGGTTCTCTAATCTTAGCAGCTATGGTGTCTAGTCGGCTGTATTCTTAATCTGAAACATATTTTTATCTTTTTTATATTCTCTGTGTCTGTCCTTAACAGACTTAAGTTTTCTTCTGCCACACTGAACACATATATATGTTGACCATAATGACCATTTCAGTGTCCTTGTCCTTGAACACATATATATGTTGACCATAACGACCATGTCAGTGTCCTTGTCTACCAATTTTGTCATTTCTAGGTTTGTCCTGATCCACTGACTTTTCTCCTCATTGTTGTTCATACTGTCTTGCTTCTTTGCATGCCTGGGTAAATTGTGATTAGATTCCAGACACTGAATTTTACATTGTTGGGTACTGGACATTGCTATACTTTTTAAATATTTTTGAACTTTGTTCGGAGGCACAATGAAATTATGTGAAGCATTTTGGTCCGTGTGAAGCTTTCTTTTAAAGTCGAGTAGAGAGGGACAAAGCGTCATTGTTGAGGGCTGACTTTTCCCTGATTTTGAAGTAACACCTGAGACCCTGTGCATTACCAGACTTTCCACTCTGGCTGGTGAAAAAGGAACTCTTTCTAGCCCTATACAAGCTTGAAAAAGACTGTCCCCTCTGCTCCACTTGGGATTTTGTTATTCTTTTTCTACACACACCAGAATGGGATGAAGCCTGGGGCTACAGGGGGCCCTCTGCAAATCTCCGTAATTCTCTCTCCTCCCATCTCCATGCAGCTTCCTCCTAGGACCCTGCCCCAAACTTCCACCTCCTGTCCTCCACTTAAGGGGACTAGTGGGCTTTCTTGGGTCCCATCTCCCTGCACTGCAAATTGAAGACTCTCCAGGCAGCTCTCTGTGGCAATTTTGAACTTGGCTTGTCAGTTTTCCCTCTCAGGGATCGCTGCCCTGGGATTGCTGCCCTGCTCCTGTCCAGTGTCTGGTAACCATGGGACTGTGTATTTTACCAGTTTGGGAGTTAAGGCAGGAGGGTGACCCTGGTCTTGCTGCATCTTGGGTGGAAGCAACAGTGTCCCATATGTGCACAAGTCATTTTAAGGACTCTGGGTCTACTCAAAGCAGCCTGGCCTGACATGCCTGGCTTACATGGTGGGACCACTAACTGAACAAAGTACTGAGACACACACTGTCTTCTAACACACACACAGTGCACTTGCTGAATTTGCTACCTGTTGTGCTTCTGCCTCCCTGGGCGCCCCAGGTGCCTAGAACATGCCTGGCCTGTGGTAGGTGCTGGAGAAGTGGGACCTAATAGGGACCCAAGCAAATAAGGCCGAAAATGGGTGGAGCAGAAGAGTTTCTCCAGGCCTCCCCAACCCCACCCCCGCTTCCATGGAGAGGCCGGGCTCTGGCCAGCCCCCAGAAGGAAGGATATCCTCTCTTTTTTGGAGGGAATCCTTTCCCATATTTGCAGAAGACAGGGGGAGGGGCACAGACCGGCTTGAAAGAGCCCTACATTCCCCTCACCCCCACTCCCTGCTGTTCCCCGTGCTTCCCCTCCCCTCAGAGACCCACAGGGATGTCTGAGTGTCCAGGGCAGCCTTGTGTGTGGTCCTGAGAGCCCAGCTCCACCAAGTCAGTGTGAGCACCGCAGCTGCAGTTTAGAAGCCCGAGCCCTGCCATGTCCCACTTCCACATCTGTCCCATAGCACTGGCCAGAAAGCCAGGCCCCACAAACCTATAGGCAATGCTGCCTGCTTCACAGTGTCCTGAGGCCTCAGGACCCCCACCTTCCCCAGAGTTGAGCTGGTCTAGTGAACTGATGGCTGGACAAATGGAAGGAGGGTGCCGGACCTGATCCAAACCAGCACTGCCCTCAGCGTCACCTACACTCAGCCCATGTCACACCAGGGTGCCTGGATGCTTACATACAAGACCCCTTTTCCATTTCAGAATCTCCCCCATACCCACGAAGGACCCATCTCATATGAGGGGACCTCAGGACTCTGGCCGCAGGAACAGACAGTCACTCTCCACCATCCTGCTCTGCAAGTCAAAAAGCAGCCAGGCCGCCCTGGCGCCCAAGGAGCACACGATGTTCATGGAGGAGGCCTACAACTCAGGTGGTCGCTACCCCTGGGCAGGGGCAGGGCCAGGGTGGCTCCCAGAGGGGGTCAGGCTCCAGTAGTTCCCACCAAGTTCTTCCACCCCAGCAGTCCTGAGAGTGAGGGTGAAAGGGAGCCCTTCCTCTAGCACCTTGGGAATAACAAGGGGTGTAGACACACTGAAGCTTTCAGCAGGGAGTCTGCACACCTGCCCTGGCCTCTCATACCTCCCGGGCACCTTTCCTCCCGATCCTCCCACAACCTCTCACCCTCGGAACCTTAGCTAGGCCTGGCCTCATCACCAGAATGCTTTTCCCTCATCTAGACACTGCTAAAAGTTGGATGACTGGATGGAAGGGTGGAGGGATTGATTTACGAATAACTGGATGGATAGCTGGACAGAGAGATGGATGGATTAACTTACATATGGATGAATGGGGGATAGAAGGATGGATGGATAAATTTATAAGTGAGTGGATGGAGGGGTGGATACATTTTCCAATAGATGGATGTTTGGTGGATGGGTGGATAAATGAATGGAAAGATGGACAGACAAGTGGATGGATAAACGGGTTGATGGACAAACAGATGTATGAATAAATATGTAGGTGAATGGACAGGGGGTGGGTGATCCGTGGATGATGGATGGATGGCTAAACGGATGGATGAAAAAGCAGCTGGGGCAGTGAACATATCAAATGTGACAAGGCAAGTGAGGATAGGCAGCCTAGCCCGCACTCCCATCCTCGTCCTCTCTGGACCATCAGCAAGTCCAGGGCTTCCCGTGTGTCCAGCTGCCCAGGCCTCACTTCAGACCAGTCCTCCCATTCTCAGGCCAGCCTTCCCTGCCCACCCAACCCTGCAGCTGAAATGTGACCTTCCATGGCCCACCTCCCCACCCCCTTTTTGCCAACTCCAGCCATCTGCTTCAAGATGCTCAGGGACATGAGCAGCGCGGACCCCTACCACCTGAAGTACATGCTCAAGAAGCTCAAGAACATGGCGCAAGGGTCCCCCAACCTGGTGATGGAGACCATGCACGACTACTTCATGGACAACCCGGAGGTGGGGCTGTGGGGCACTGGGGCAGGCACAGGGAGCGGGGGTGGGGGTGTGTGACCCTGGGTGGGGCTGTGGGGCACTGGGGCAGGCACAGGGAGCAGAGGGGAAGGTGGGACCCCAGGGTGGGGCTGTGGGGCACTGGGGCAGGCACAGGGAGCAGAGGGGGGGTGGGACCCTGGGGTGGGGCTTTGGGGCATTGGGGCAGGCACAGGGAGCAGAGGGGAGGGTGTGGGAATCCAGGTGGGCACAAATCCTGGACCCCACATAGGACTGCTATATAATTTGGGGCAAGTTTCAGTTTCCTCATGTATCAAATGTGCCGTGTAGAGAACATCAGACCTACATGTACTGAGCACCTCAGGGTGAGGCAGATGTTATGACCCTCACAGATGAGGAAATGAAGGGACAACAAGTGATTTGCCTAAAGTCGCAGAACCATTTGGTAGTGGAGGAGGATGGAAGGATGGAGGAAGAGTGAGGGGAAGAGGGAATAAATGAAGGAAGGAGTGACCTGACTTTGAAGATGAGATGGTTCTAAATCCCGTGGCCATTCCCTGAGGAATTCCTCTCTCCCTGCACTAGCTGGTTTGAGGCCTGCACATAGTAGGTATTCAATAAACGGTCACCAGGTGAATGGCCATCAGCAGCCGCCTATGATGCTATCTCTCTGGCCTCCTCACAAACCAGGCCCCGTGGACATCTCCCACGTGACTAGCCCCAACCTGGCCCTGTACCTCTGTCACTCTGCCATTCACAGATCTCCACCCGGCACAAGTTCAGGCTGTTCCAGGCCCTGGAAATCGTCATTAAAGCCAGTGACTCCCTGGATGAGAGCTGGGAGCAAATCTTCATGAAGCTGGCCCTGGAGAACATGGCCAAGTCCACGGTGGGCCTCCCCTCCTGACAGACAGGCCAGTCCCCCAAGGGCTTTGGGAACACAGGCAGCTGCCCCTGGGAGCCAAATGACACCCATGTGCCCAGTCTCAGGAAGGCCAACTCCAGGTCTAACCCATTCCCTGGGCGAAACTCCCGTCTCCCTGCCATCTGGGCTCCTGCCAATGGAGACTGACAGGTGTGGGCCTGCCCTGCCCTTCCCTGCCCTGTCCCAGGCTTTCTGTCCAGGGAGCTGCCCCCAGGCCTGGCCACAGTCTGCTCAGGCTGCAGCTCCACCTGGGGGAAAGCGGATTTTATTCAGATCAAGGAGGCCAAAGCAACCCCAGGGCAGACTACTCTTAACCACACACAGCCCTGGCACTCCTTTAAGAGGGAACAGGCACCATTGAATTCTCTGATCTGTGCCAGGTCTTAATAAATGACAACGTGGACAGACCAATGCCATTTGAAAGGTTTTTACTACTCACAGCTCCCCCCAGAACCAAAAGGCACAGCACGTTCCCTCTCCCCACGAACCTGTCCCAGAAACTATCTGGACGGTGCCTTCAGGACTATAGTAGCAGGAAATAACTAAGTGGGGATGTCCCTGGGGGCTAAGGGGACACTGGCAGGTCAGGGTCTGTGACTTTTGTGCACCTGTGAACACTCTGGGCGTTTGTCTGGCCCTCTGATTTGGCAGACTCGAGGAGAGGCTACTGGGTTAAGAGCTGGAATCAGCCAGTGCAGAGTCCAAAAACATGGCTGATGCCCTCTCCACAGACCCTTGTGGCTCCACCGACAGATGGGGAGACTGAGGCTCTGAGTTCAGAGACTTGCCTACAGGCCAAGCACAGGTGGTAGAGCAGGTGACAATTTCCTGTGCTCCCCTGTGAGGACACCCTAGGTGTGAGTGACAGACCATATTGACCCAGAAAATGGTCCAGAAAAATAGGGACAGAAAAAAACAGGGACAAGGGCCATATCTACCTCAGGATTTTTTGCTTTTAAATTCTATTTGTTTGTTTATTTAACCCACCAATTTGAAGCTTATTAGGTGCATTTATTAGCAAGTTTCCAGACCTACAGAATAATGAGCCGGTGGGATGCAGGGCTGTGTCAGAGATCTGTCTGGCTTCAGCCTCCCTGGGAGTGGGTGAGATCCCTCCTGACCCATGTGAGGCAGGGCTGTGGCTCTGGCCAGCTAGGCTGGGAGCCAGCAAAAGCTGGTTGGGGCTGTTCTGCATTTTCTGCTTCCGCAAGGCGGCCAGGACGTGGAATGCCACGGACACTCCACCACCCGGTCCAGAGGCTCAGTGGCACACTGGGATCTGCCTTGCTCAGGACTCCTGTTGCTTCTTATTGCCCTGTCTTGTCAGGGGATGCCATTTCCTATGCCCCAAGGTTTTCCCAGTTCTCCCTGCTAAGTTGGAGACATACAGGGCCAGCATCTTCCCTGAGGTTGGTAGAGTGGGAAGTTCATGCATTTCCAAATGTCTCACCCTGGGCTGTGATGAGGGCTCATTGCCCACTGTTTTCCTGCCCTTGTGTGGCTGCTGAAAACCCACAGCCATTCTGAACTTTGATGCTGTTGCAGGACATGCTTTATCTTCTGGGAGGCTTATAGAGTCCTCCCATGTGTTCCAAAATGCCACAGTAGTAGCCCTGGCTCTGGCCTAATTTTAGCCACCAAGCTTTGTTGTCCTGTGTCCCTTCCATCTGGTATCTGAATCCTTTGGTGCCGAGATGACTCAAGGCTGCCACCCTTCGTGGCCATGTCAGCATCTCTGTCTCTTTCCTCTGGGCTCTGAGGCTTTCCAGGGAGACCCTGATCCAGGACTCAGCCTGGAGGTCAGGGACCTGTCCAGCAGCAGTGCTGCGGGGGCCTGGCCTGCAGAGCAACTATCCCCAGAGTTCATGCCTGACCTCCGACTCAGCCTGGAGGTCAGGGACCCGTCCAGCGGCAGTGCTGCGGGGGCCTGGCCTGCAAAGCAACTGTCCCATGAATTTGTGCCTGACCTCCCCTGTACAGAGACCCTCCCCTACCTTCTCCAGAGCCAGAGCCTCCAAAGTCCTGTTGGGGTGGGAGGGGACAGACCCCTTCAGGTGGCGTCAGTGTCATGTAGGGCTGTAACTGCGTCTAAAGCCACTGGCCCCTTATTTTTATTCTGCTCCACTGCTATCCCCATTCCAGAGTCTGGGAAAACATGAATCCTAACCTTTGGCCAAACCATGGGGGATGCACAGCATAGGGGGCTGACTCTCATGCTTCCCCACTGCCAGCACAACCCATGATCTCTGGATCTCATCCCTCTGCTTCCAGCTTCCAAAATGTGGTTGCTACTGGCCTTTTTAAACATTTTCCCTAAATATAATTTTAGGTGACGTTTTGAAGCTTAGTTTAGTTTTGTTTTGTTTGGAAGAGCAAGATCAGATTTAATCTACCATCTTAACAAGAAGCCGTCATAAGAATACTATCAAAAATTATAGGCTGGCAACAGGGACCTTAGCTAACAAACACATTGTAATCTAATAGTACCCTCATCTTAACCTGAAATTTTTTAAAAAGAGAGATCTGAGCTCAGGTTTTAAAACAGTGAAAATCCATAATGTTTTCTGAAATGTGTGATACTATAGGATATGAGAAGTAAATCAAAACTCTGGGTGGCAAATTGTGTTGACAGTAAGAGGAAAAATATACCACCACAAAGAGTAAGCGAGATGATGGTTATGTTAATCAGTTTGATGTAAGCATCCACACTGTATATCAAATCAGCACATTGTACACATTATGCACTCTGTACATAAATGAATTAATGTACACAGTTATGATTTAATAAAGAAAAAAAGAGGAAAAATAAAAAAAAATTATAGGCTGGGCACCATGGCTCGCACCTATAATCCCAGCACTCTGGGAAGCAAAGGCAGGAGGATCCCTTGAGCTCAGGAGTTTGAGACCAGCCTGAGCAAGAGTGAGACCCCATAGCTACAAAGAATGGAAAAATTACCCAGGTGTCATGGGCGCCTATAGTTCCAGCTACTCAGGAGCCTAAGGCAGGAGGATCACTGGAACCCTAGAATTTGAGGCCACAAGGAGCTATTCTAGCAAGGGCGAAGAGTGAGACTCTCTCTCAAAATAAATAATAAATAAAAATTAAATTATAAAGGACTTACCAATTTCACACGATGATTCAGGCTTCATGGCTAGGCGAGCAGGAAGGGACCTCAGGCACCTCTACTTTCAGACCCCACCAAGGGCAGTCAGATTAGTTAGTGCTTCACACTAAGAGCCCAGAAGGTTCCCTCACAGCTACCGCTAGTACAGAGAAAAGAGAGGAATTAAACTTGGGGCATGACCTAGGGAAATAACAGCACACTCACTGAGAAAGTACTGACGTGGGGCAGCGCCTGTGACTCAAAGGAGTAGGGCTCTGGCCCCATATGCCAGAGGTGGCGGGTTCAAACCTGGCACTGGCCAAAAATTACCAAAAAAAAAAAAAAAAGGCACTGGTGTGGCACACAGAGGCCACACAGGGTTCCAGGGCAGGCAGTTTCTCTGCACCTGAGGATTCTATCCCTGAGACAGTGGTGGGCCTGGCCAGCTGGGCTCTGTCCTCAAACAACTGACCTTGCCTCTATGGACAGGAACCCAGCTTCTCTTTCTGAGTTGATGGTAAAGAATTAAAGATGTAACACTGCCTGAAGCTCCAGGAGCTCTGGAAGAGGGGAGGGCTGTTGACTAGAAGCCTCAGGGTGGGTGTCTTCAGACCAGGCCGCATGGGGGTTTTAAACTGGCCTAGGATTCAGACAAACATGGCGGGAAAGGGAGAGATTGCAAAGGAGAAAGAACAATGTTCTGGAACCATAAGGGGACCAGGAATATCTCAGGTTCCCTCAGCCTCACTTTCCTACAAAAAAAAAAAAAAAATGGGTTGTAATAGCTGCCCACCTACCACACCAGGCCAGTGTATGAGAATGCCAGGCTCATGGGACAGCAGCTCTTACCTTCTCTCCCCCACCACCCCTACCAGGAGCTGGAAGACACATACCAGGACGCAGCCAGCAAAGTACTGGTGGCCATCTGCAAGCACTCGTGGCAGGTGGTGACCCAGCACCTGGAGGCAGAGCTGCTGACCGGGATCTTCCCACACCGCAGCCTGCTGTACGTGATGGGCCTCCTGTCCTCAGATGGTAAGTCTGCTCAAAGTGAGGGGGCAGGGCGGATCAGAGGCCTGAAGGTGGTGCTGAGGCCCCAGAGTCCAGGCAGGGCTGGAGCAGTGGGAGAGCAGGGCCAGGCTACCTGGCAATTTGCTGCTGCCCCAGGACCCCACTGCCCACCCTAGCACTTGCAGGACCTCCCAGGAAAGGGCCACACTGGGCACTGTGGTGCCACCCTGTCTGACAGCTGGGGCTCCTGCTCTCCATGTTTGAAGAACTGGGCATGGATGGAACCAGGACAACCCAGGAGGTTCCAGGAGGTGGTCCAAGGCACCTTCATAGACCACTGTCCTCTCTTCCTTGGCCGCACAGGACAGGCAGCACTCCCCCTTCAGACAACAGGGAGAGAGAACCCAGAGAAGCAGCACGTGGCGGCCTGCAGCAAGGCCGGCTTCATGACAGCTGCTGCCTAAGTGCTGCAAGAAGGGCTGAGCTGGATAGTAGGACCTCTGATGACCCAAGGGGGGGATGGAGAGGAGGGTTAGGGATGGCAAACAATGGCTGGGCCCTGTCACAGGCCAGGTCCTCAGCACAGGGGCTCACAGGCTAGGCAGGGAGACAAGCGCTTCCTTTCCTTTACTCACTAGCTCACAGGCACCTGCTACTGTGTTCACTCCTGCCTATCTGGGGAGGCAGCTGGGGGGAGCCCAGGGAGGAGAAGCCAAGGGGGAGGGCTTCCTGGAGGAGGCAGCCAGTGTGGGCCATGTCTAGAGGGATGCATAGGAGTGTGAGGAGAGAAGCTTACTCCACCAAGGGCCTTCAGGAGGACTTGATCACCAGTCAGCGAGGCACCAAGCAGTGGAGGAGGCAGGGCAGCAGGTCCCGTTGTCTGCAAGGAGGCCAGGGCAGCAGGGGAGGTTTCTAAGGCTGGGTTGGGAGCCTGAACTCTGAGGCTTAGGACAAGGCAGGACCTAGCTTGGCTGGGCTCTGTGCCCCCCGCCCTGGGATTGGCAGGCTGAGTGGAGGTTCCTCTGTACCTGAGGGCCCTCTGAGACCTCCAGAACCACCCAAAAGCAGCCCCTCCCTCTGAGTTGAGGTTTCCAAAGTATCCAAAAAGCTTTCCCATCTTACAATGCCTCCATCCCCAAACTTTGTTTTCCCACTTTTGAGGGGCACCCAATGTATACCAAGGGACCATGCTTTGAGAACATTCCACTCACCACTACAGAGCCCAAGGCCCAGAAAGGGAAGGTAGCCACCCGGGGTCACACACCAAGGGCAGCAGGACCATGACTCCAGCCCAGCTTTGGACCTTGCACCTAAGCCAGCCTCAAGTTCCTCTGGCTCCCCTCCCCCATGAGTGAGAGGGGCAGAGGCAGAATAGCACCAGCCTAACTCCAGCCAGCCCTGGCCATGGGCTGTCCCTAACCCACCCTTCTCACCCACAGAGGAGCTGTTCAGCGAGGAAGACAAGGCAAACTGGGAGCAGAAGCTGACCCAGGTAGGGGAAGTCCTGCCACCAGCCCAGGGGTTAGGGGAGCAAACCAACTTGAACAGGTACCGGCTGCAGCAGGGGGAGAAGGAGAGAGGGAAGGGAGGGAAGGAAGAGGGAGAGGGGGATATGGGGAAAGCAAGAGAGTGTGGAGAGAGGGAAGGTCCCCACTGTATAGATCGGCAGACAGACAAGCTTGGGGAGATGGCATGACTTGACCAGCAGAGCTGGTCACTGGGGCAGTTGTATTTTAACCTTGGTCTCTAGATGCCTGGCACAGAGCAGGTATCCAGTACACACAGGACCTTCTCACCTGTCCTGTGAACTGGATCTACAACCAGGGGGCCAGAGAGGATACAGAGGCCCACACTGAGACCAGGGAAGGGAGGAAGCAGGTCAGGTTAGACTGAAGATGCCATGGCCAGGACTCGGGGTCAATGCAGGCCCATCTCTGCACATACCAGGTGAAGGGCCTACCTGGCTGAGAGAAGGGGCACAGCACCCTGGCTGACCTAGGTTCAAGCCCATACTCAACCCGTCATAGTTGTGTGCCCTGGGGTAACCTGCTTTGCCTCTCTGTACCTCAGTTTTCTCATCTGTTAAACAGGGATGGAAGTATTTCACTCACATGGTGGTTGTACACAGGAAACAACCCATGTCAAGTGTTTGGCACGGTGCCTAGTACACAGGAAGCCTTCTTGACTGTTAGTTGTTATTATTGTATAGTAATGGCTGTGGTAATAGCAATAGTAGCAACAGAAATACAAGTGATTAATAGAATAAGATTACAAATTACTGAGGATACAGAAAACTTGAACAGTACAGCTAACCAAAGTTATCTAATAAAATGCAAATAGAACATTCACCATAGAGACCAGATGCTGGGCCATATATCACGTTCCAGTAAATTTAAAAGCCCTGAAATCAAACAGAGTACATTCTTTGACCAAAGCATAAATTAGAGTTCAATATTAAAATATATCTGGAAAAGCTCCAAATGCTGGAGTAAGCAACGCACTTCTAAATAACCCATGCATCAAAAAAAAAAAAAAAATTGCAAGCAACATTAGAAAATGTCTTAACTGTGTGATAATGAAAATACAACAAGTGATAATCTGTGGGATAAACAAAAAGAAATGCTTAAAAAGAAATTTCTTAATGTTAAGAGAAACGAAGAAAGATATAAAATCAATTATTTAAACCTCTATTTTAAGAAGTTGTCCCTCCCCCCAAAAAAGAGCAAATTAAAGCCAAAGTTGAAAGAAGGAAATAACAACAACTAGAGAAATCAAAGGAAGAAAAGGACAAAGAATAGATAATGGCTAGAATTAAAAGTAGGTTCATCAAAAAATCAACAAAACGATAACCCACCAGACTGATCAAGAAGAGAGAAAACACAAAATACCCACTTCAAAAAGAATTTGAAAAACACTGCAAATCTTTTAGACATTAAAGGATAATAATGATATATGATTCAAATAAAATAGATTATTTAGACTGAATAGACAAATTCCTCGATAAACACAAATTACCAAACTGACACAAAAAGAAACAAAAAAATCTAAGTAGTCCTACACCTATTAAAGAAATTGAAGTCATAATTAAACACTCCCTCACAAAGAAAACTTCAAGACCAGATACTTCTTTGATAAATTCTGTCAAAAACTAAAGAAAATTCATAACCAGCCTAAGCAAGAGTGAGACCCTGTCTCTAAACAGCCAGGTATTGTGGTAGGCGCCTGTAGTCCCAGCTACACAGGAGGCTAAGGCAAGAGAATCACTTAAGCACAAGAGTTGGAGGTTGCTGTAAGCTATGATGCCACAGCACTTTACTGAGGGTAACAAAGTGAGACTGTCTCAAAAAAAAAAAAAAAAAAAAAAACAACTTAATAAGGCATGCACCTGTAGCCCAGCTACTCAGGAGCCTGAGGCAGGAGGATCACTTGTGCCCAGGAACTTGAGGCTGCAGTGAGCTATGATGACACCATTGCACTCCAGCCTGGGTGGCACAGCAAGACTCCATCTGTAAAAAAAAAGAGAAAAAAAAAAGTTAAAAGAGAAATAATACCAATTCTATACAAATTCTTTTAAGTAATAAAAGAGGAAGAAACACTTCTCAAATCATATTATGAAGCCACTACGATCCTGACATCAAAACCAAAAACATTACCCCCCCCAAAAAAATCAAACTGAACACCAATATCGATCATAAAGATAAGCTCAAAAATATTTTAAACAAAACATTAGCAAATTGAATAAAAGGATAATTTATCATGATGAAGTAGAGTTTATCCCTGGGACTCAAAGTCAGTTTAACACTGAAAAGCAGTAAGTTGAATTTAACACATTAACAGAATAAAGTATAAATATTTTTATCATTTTTGTGAAAAATTATGTAGAAAAAGCATTTGATAGAATTCAAAATCTATGTATGATAAAGGCTCTCAACAAACTAGAAGGGAAACAGCCTCAGCTTAACAAAGGACAGTTACAGTACAGCTGACACACTCAATGATCAAAGACAGAACACTCCTCTGCCAAAGTCAGGGGAAGAGGCCAAGACATCCAGGCTCCCCACTGCCCATCAACGTTGCACTGAAGTTTCTAGTCAATGCAACGAGGTAAGAAAAATGAAAAGAAAAAAGACATACAGATTGCAACTGAAAAAGTAAAATTTTTTTGCAGACAATATGATTGCATATGTAGAAAATCTTACAGAATCTTTTAAAAGTACTAGAACTAACAATTACTTATAATTGAATTTAGCAAGATCTCAAGATATAAGATCAGTATACAAAATACAATTGAATTTCTATATACTAATTTCAAACACTTGAAAAAGGAAATTTTTATGAAAAACAACAGCAATAAAGATATGGAAGGCTCAAAGATAAAAGCAGTAAAATGTACATGATATTTTTACAAAATATTGCATAGAGGAAATTTTTTTAAATCTTAAACATTGAGACATAGGATGTTTGTGAATAACATTCAATAATAGTAAGATGTCAGTTCTCCTAAAATTGTAGTAGTGCCAATCAAAATCTTGTAAGATTTTATTGTAGAATTAAATATAATAACCTATAGATTAAATTTGTATGTGGAATTTTTTCCTTATTCTAAGGAACCTAGAATAGCCAAAACAATTGTGAAAAAGAATAAAGTTACAAGAATTCTACTACTTAATTTTAAGACTTTCCATACGGCTACAGTAAACACAACAGTGAGGTACTGGCATAGCTTAAACAAATAAATTGATGGAGCAGAATAGGAAACCCAATGTAAAACCATACTTATACAGTTGATTGATTTTTTTAAGGTTCCAGAGTAATTCAATGGGGAGAGGAAAGTCTTGAAAATAAATGATCCTGGAAAGTCTGCATAGAGATGCCTATACAAGAAGAAATGAACTTTAATGCCTGGCTCAAACCATTCACAAAAATTAATTAGAGATGGAGCCAGGTCCTAAATGTAAAAGCTAAAACTAAAAAGCATCTAGAAGAAACATAGGAGAAAATCTTGATGATATTTGTGAATAAGAACATTCAATAATGGTAAGATGTCAGTTTCCCAAAATTGATTTGTAGATTGAATGCAGTGCCAATTGAAATCTCAGAAGACTTTATTGTAGAATTAAATATAATAACCTACAAATTAAATTTACCAAAACCAAAGACATTACTTGTGGGGTAGGTAAATATTTCTTAAGACTCAGAAAGCAGGGTGATGCCTGTGGCTCAGTGAGTAGGGCGCCAGCCCCATTTCCTGAGGGTGGCAGGTCCAAACTTGGCCCTGGCCAAACTGCAAAAAAAATAGCCGGGCACTGTGGTGGGCGCCTGTAGCCCCAGTTACTCAGGAGGCTGAGGCAGGAGAATCACCTAAGCCCACGAGTTGAAGGTTGCTGTGAGCTGTGACACCAGACCACTCTACCAAGGGCGATAAAGTGAGACTCTGTCTATAAATAAAAAAAGAAAAGACTCAGAAAGCAATCATCATAAAAACAAAAAAATTGATAAGGTGGATTTCATCAAAATTAAAACAGCTGCTTATCAACTGATATCATTAAGAAAATGAAAAGGCAAACCACAAATTCGAAGAAAAGACTCATAATACACATCTCACAAGGTACGGCATTCAAAATAAATATAGAAGTTTGTACAACTCAGTAAGAAAAAGACAAATAGTTCAATTTTTAAAAGGTCAAAAGATTCGCAGAGGAAGACATGTAAACAGAATGCAAACATGTTTAATTCTCAAGGAAATGTCTATTGAAGCCACAAGGAGCTACCAACACAGACCCCCGAGAGGCCTCAAGTGACAAACGATGATGGCAAGCGTTGGCAAGGGTGCGGGGAACCAGAGTACTGTGGTGGGATGGGTGAAAGTTGCTCCTCTTTTCTTCTAAAGCTAATAATATATGACCCATAAACTCCATATGTAAATATTTTACCTAAGAGGTGTCCAGGGCGGCACCTGTAGCTCAAGGAGTAAGGTGCCAGCCCCATATACCAGAAGTCACGGGTTCAAATCTGGCCCCAGCCAAAAACTGCCAAAAAAAAAAAGAGGTGTCCAAACATACATACACACAAAATAACCTACACATGAAAATTAAGCAACACGTGGCAGGCAGCATAAAGCATGCCCTCCCCAAAGATCCAAAATCAAGTATCCACCTCAGGAAACCTGAGCAAGTTCAATCTAACCTAAGCAAGAGAAATAATAGAAGTTAAAACAGAAAAAGAGGATGAACTTCCAATACAGGCCACAACATGGATGAATCTCAAAAACACCCAATACCCAAATCACATTCTGTATAATTCTGTTGTATGTAATTCCAGAAAATGCAGAACTAATCTACAGCGAAATAAATAGAAACAGCTTTGTAGGGATGGAGATTAAGAGGGAGTGTGAGGGCACTTCCCAGGGTGGTGGCAAAAACCCTGCATTTTGATGTGGTATGAATTACAGGGGTCCAACATTTGTTAAAATTCATGAGCTGTACAGTAAAGATCTGTAATTTCAATTTTCAAAATATTTAAAACAATTAAAAATTAGGGGAAGATATATGTTACAAAATTCAGAATATTTTAGATTTTTTAAAAGCAATATGGTGCCTACCCTGTACATCCCATGAGCATTCCTGGCAGAGTCTAGGGCAGCTGCAGAATCAGCAGTGTTAATATCTCTGCTATGGAAACATACCAAAGTATTCACACTGAATCCCACAAATCGAGTCATGTCACCTTGAGTCAGCTTTCACCAGCTAGTAAGTTTGCTGCAAAACTATGGGGGTGGGGGATGCTTAATTTTCTGAGTTTGGAAATTTGGTTTTCAGACAAGGAGCTGGGGTACTGGTATATACCATACAGTAGTGAACAAGAACAGGTGAGGTTTGGGGAAGGGGACAGGAGTCCCTGGCCCTTCTTGGGGAACTCCCCATGAGGATGGTACAGGTGAGAGAACCAGCAGGTCCTGCTGCTCCCTGTGCAGGGGGCAGGAGGGGCACACCCTGGCAGACAAGCTCGCCCAGATTCTACCATAAGCGGGGAGTGGTTTCTGCTTTGGGGCCAAGGGATCAAGACCAGGGACAGTGCAAGCAGTCCTGCCTTTCAGGGGTGCTCTAAAGGGTGGTCTTAACACCCAATTGGGCATGCCCGTGTGCTCCTGGCATCACACATTTTCACTATTCAGGATAAATTCCTGGAAATGGGGTTGTTTGGGAAAATACGTGCATATTTTAAACTTTAATTATATTGACAATGCCTTTTAATTAATATTGTGAAAACCTTCAAAAAAAAAAAAA